TGTTGTTGCAGATATTGCTATAGGTTCCTTTGTGGTCTCCTGGTTAAATTGTCAAGTTGTTGCAAGCCTGGCGACTCTTGGAAAGATTCACCACTGTTCCATACTTTCTCCATTTGTGGGTAATGGCTTTTGCTGTGGTCTGCTGGAGTCCCAAAGCTTTGAAAATCACAATATAACCCTTTCCAGGCATTTTGTTTCTTATCTGTTCTTGAATTTCTTAAGGTCAGGGTCTGAAGTGTTGCTTTTTGAGATTTTTTATCCTACTTCATGCAGATTGTATTTTAGTGATGTCGTTATTCTTGGGGCTAGGCAATAATCAGTTGTTGGTGTGGCAGGTAAACGTGAACCAGAAAAGAGTTTCTTTAATCACTCTAGATATGTGATTTACCAAGGGAGTCAATTATACTTACAGAGAAGCGTTTGATTTTTTAAACATTTTTCTTTTACTTTTAATAAATGAAATTCCCATTGGTCACTACTTTTTGTATTTGCATAGGTTACATTTTCATGGCATTAGCAAATATGAGTAAGAATGTTTGTTTTTTCTTTCTTAGTGTTTTTTTTTTTTTTTTCAATTTGAATTTTGGAAGACCAGTCAAATCTACCTACTTTTGAGATACAGGACAAAGAGAAACACCTGGTTCCCATAACACAAAGTGTCTAAACTCTAACTCTACAGTCTAGCTATGTGACCCAGACAAAACACAGACATATTAGGGGTTAGATTCATTCAGCTATGAATTCAATTAAGAGAAAAATAAGTTAATTAATATGATAATTGTACATAAAACCCCTGCTGACTTAGGCTTTTAAAAGTGAAGGCATTATCATAGTGTGATTGTTGTGTTGTCTCAGACAGCATTCTTTTATTGGTCTGAACTGAAAGTATCTTTTTTCTTCTCCTCAGACACAAGATAAGCCTACATCATCAGCGCATATAATTGGTGCATATTGAGTGAATGCAAGTGGAGAGACAGCAGACAATGTTCTGCCCACAACAAATAATTTCATAGTTGTCTCTTTATTACGTAACTGCATGAATCATAGCAGTTTATTTAGTTTTTTTTTTTTCCCTTTTTTTCTTTTTTTTTTTTCCCAGCTATGTGGAGACAACATTACCCGGCAGGGTCTATAGACAGACAGTCACACTATAAGCAATGGCAAGAAGCCTCTCTCTCTCTTTCGCTCACCCTCCCGACATCCCATAATGATACTCAGACAGACTCAGGCAGACGCCTGCTCAGTCCCGATTGGTAGAACTGTTGCCAGGGAGCGTTGCCTTCTCAACGTGGATAGAATCTGTTGTCTGGTACACTTTAGACATGAGAACAACTGCAGGATCTGAATATTTATAACGAGGGGACTGTTCATATTGAGATTGTACAGAAGCAACATAAGCAAGAGCAAAGGGCTCGCTCTGCTATTGTTCAGGCTCACATGAAACTTTTCACAGGGTTCACTCTTTGCATTGGTTCTTGCACTTGAAATGAGACATTAATTGATGCTGTTACTTTTCTGTGTCTTTAGGAGGTAATTGTTGGAGTTGTGGGTAGGTTTTCACAATCTCCATTGTGCGAGACCCGCTTCACTTTTGACCTCACTCAAATGATTCAAAAATAGCCCAAAAAGACCAACTTGAGTTAGTCTTTTTGAGTAAGTGTTTAACCCTTACTCTATTGTCATTTATGCAGCTACAGTAGAACTGGTAATTAAAATCTGTGAGTGGATGCGTGATTGTGCATGTGTTTGTTTGCCATCTGGAGGATCCGCTTGTGTCTTCGCATTATTCAGATAAGGCTGGACCTGCTGTTAAGCTTAATAACACTGTGCATAAGTATGGGTCCCTAATTAAAAATGGATACAACACATTCCGAAGAAAGCAGACAAAACGCAATCAGGGTCGCATTTCAGTTGAGTTTATAAAACAAAATAAAAAAGCAAAACGTCTGCACAGGCAAAGCGCCAGAAGTCAAAGTGAGGTATATAAGGATGAGGATTATCACAACACATCTTAATGTGCTAGAAAGTTTTAAGATGGGAAAGCAAACTCTCCTCGGGTAATGGGAACAAAAGTTTGCAGTGGGGCACACACACGTTTGATGGAATTTGCATGTCAATTCTTGTGTGTGTAAATGCACATGTGCACCTTAAATTTTTCTTTTGCACATTTTCCTCTATAATGCATGTGTTCCTGTTTCTTATTCATTCAGCCATACATTTGCATAAATATGCAGCTATGTGTCTGTGTATATGTGCTATGTGGCACTCTACTGTCCTGTCTGCCTGACTCAACATATTCTCTGCTCACTCTCCTTTGCTCTTTCTCTCTCTCCCCCTCCCTCTTACTCTTTTCCCTTTCTGCTCCAACCCCCCAACCCTCCCCTCCTCCAATCCCTCCCGACATCCTCTTCTTCCCGCTCTGACTGGCTGGCACGTACATGCATGTCTGTAGACTCTGTACTGTGCTTGCTGCCGTGGCACGCGCCAACCTCACTGCAATGCAGCCCTGTGTGCATTAATTGGCAGAGAGACAGTGGGTACGTGGTATGCAGGATGGGAAGGGTAGGAAAAAAGGGAGGGGGTGCTGGGGGGTGAGCAAGAGGCAATGTAAGGACACAATAGTAACAATAACCAATAGACAGACGAGTGGACAAGCAGTCTGGCAGCATCCCAATGGGACAGACACACAGACAAACAGAATGTGTATTGCTGAGTGTGCATGGGGAGATTACCTGACTGTGTGTGTTTGCGTGTGTGTGTGTGAGAGAGAGAGAGAAAGCGCAGGGGACTGAGTTTATGTCTGTTTGCATTAGCATGTTTGCGGATTTGTTTCTCTGGCGTTTTCACAGAGCTTTTTTTGTGTGAGCTCACTCATGTGTGCCTATATGTGGCATGCAGATACCACACACTCTGTGGCTAAGCTCTCCAAACCAACCTCACTGACTCACTGTATTCAACCCTCGGTGATATCTTCACTTTCATGTTTCTGCTGCGACTGAGGAGTAAAAGTTTGCTCAGTTTAAAGTGCAACTTTCTCCACCTGAGGTTACTTTGGCAGAGAGTGAAACGAGTTTGTCTTGATGCTCTCAGGGAATGCGCTCCGATGTAAAAAGTGCTCTGCGTCAGCGTTTTATTTATTTATTTTAATGTTCCATATTCAAACGAAAAAAGATGGAATGAGATTCTGAAGGTCGTGATTGCTCTCATTTCCTAAAATTTCTTTAGAGGGGGCTGTTTCCATCATGCTTCTCAGTTTTAAGCTACAATGCAAGAATAGCAACTTTTGTGTGTATACTTTCTTGCAAACTTGCCCATACGTCATCAATCGTTCTTACGTTTTGTACTTTATTGGGTTTCCATTCCATAGATCATATCAAACCAGTACATTATTGTGAAATGAGAGAAAATTATTTATGATTTTTAAACTATAAAAGGATGCAAGTCTACCCATGCATGCCTGCCCATCTGAGATGAAAGGCCAGGCATAGAGAGCCAAGAAACCCAAGGTAACTCTGGAGGAGCTGTTGACAAGAAAACTAATACCGTAGTCTTCCACTCAAGAAATCTGGTCACTCTGTAAGTTTGGCAAGATAAAGTCATTGTTGAAAGACATCCAATAACAAGTCCTTAACTCATGCCACGTTGGGAGCTTAGCAAATATCCAACAACATAATCTGGTCATAAGGGGGCCAGAGTTAAACTTTTCTGACCTACATGCAAAATGCCACCCTACACATTACACAGAAAGCTTGCACAATTCATGTGCTCCCTGATACCTACTGGGAAATAAGTTGATAGCAGGACCATGTTTCGTTCTCCAGTATGGACATGAAAGCTGGTCAGAGTTGAAGAGAAGTTGGATGGAAATATATTTGAAATATGGTGGAAGCAAACCTGTTACAGAAAAAAATGAGAATGGGAAGTAAGCTCAAACTTGGATTGGGGTGACGCTAAACCTGGACTTCCAATGGAATGGTTTGATGAAAGATTGACCCAGTCAAACTCTAGACTTAAATAACAAGTCCGGGGTAATGGTTCTGCTGTGGTAGGAGGGATCAGGAGATTTATTGATGGATGCAGTTGTGCCTCTTTTGCTGTAATTTGTGTATTTCTCCAGCTTGTAATAGTAAATGGAGAAAGAGCAGAGGAATAATGTGAAATTCAAGATTTAGGTGTCAGTCACATATAGACATAAGCTATGGCTCATTACTGGAAGAATGAGATCACTGATACAGTGATTTAAGTGAGTTTCCTCCGTAGGCTGGTGCTAAGAGAAGAGAAAATATGAGGGACTTTGCCATTTGGAGGGAACTTTGTGTCCAGTCACTGTTTTTCCGCTTTGAGGGAGTCAGTTAATGTATCTGGTCTGGAGAACACCTATTAGTGACATTGCCCTAAAAACCTTTCACTGTAATTGTACTGAAAAGTGGTTCTACAAAATATTGTCACAGTGGCAATGAATGCAAGTGAAACTTTTCAAAAAAGTTAATTGTGCACTTTTCATTCTAGTGCACAATTATGTGCTGCTTTATGTTGATCTTTTACATTAAGTCCAAATATATTTGAGCCTTATAACTGCGTTATGAAAAAATATATGATAAAGTTGCAAGGGTGTGAATACTTTTGCAGCCAGTACGTGTTTACACAAACACAATAATACATTTGTTGCACATCCATCTTAGCAATAAGCATTTTTTAAAGCCTCCCACACAAATCTTTGTGGTAGTTATCATCTTCGATGCTAAGCTTCTTGTTGCCGTTGTCCTATCACTGGCTGCAACATTCGTCTTCTCTCTCATCCACGTCAAGCGACATCTATGGAGGCTGTTTTTTTTTTTTTGTTGTTTTATTTTTTTTTTCTGTGCTGGCAAAAAAAAGTAACAGCAGAGAAATGCCACCTAAATAAGCAGAGCTACCAAAGCGGAGGTGTAAATTAATCATTTAATTTATCAATTCATGTGCAAAATAGGGCTTGTGTGGAGACAGTGCTTTGCTCTGGTTGTGTGTGGGTGTTTTGGCAAGAGATGTCCTGGCATGATTCAGAGAACATACACGACACTTGCTGAAAAGTAAAAAGAAAAAAAAAATCTCTTTATTTGTCCCCCGCTATTGTCTCAAAAAGTGGAAAACACCTCTCGGCAAACTTTTCAAACCTTCCAGTTTGGCTGAGTGAAGGAATGATGCATTCTCTCCAGACTTGCGTCAAAGCGGCAATTCAGAAGTTTCACTATTCCGTGTCTAATTAATTAACAGCGTGCACGACCTCTGCAGGCTTCTTTCATATCTCTTTTGTCTGAGTCATTCCCCTCCCTCTGCTCTGTCGCACCGTGTAGACATCCGTGTTAAGGGGCATGTGGCAGAAGTTGCTTCAATCTAATTGTCTTTCCCTGCTCGTATTGTCCTCAAATGACTTTCTCTCTGTCTCAACTCTCCCCACCCTCCCTTGGACTTTCTCTCTGCCCAGTCGCTGTCTCGGTCTGTAACTGTAGCCTGTGTTTTTTTCTCCCTCCCACTCCCTGCGACGTATAGATACTGCATTGATCAGACACACGCGCACAGACACATGCACACACACTCACTCACCAACCCAGCCTCCCACTCCTTTCATCATTGATTCGCCCTGCTCTTCCCTCTTCTCTCGCTCTCTCTCTCTCTCCTCTATATTCTCTTGCTCCCCTCTTCTCTCTGTACAGCAGCACTTGTTGAATTCAGCCCTCAGAGAGTAGAAAGCAAGGAGAGATAATGATAAGGAGGCATTGAGACGGGGCTGGAGCAGACCGCGAGCAGAGAGAATGGGGTCTTGGAGGACATAAAGATAGGAGGCAGGACGAAGGAAAAAAAAAAAGTCATAGAAGCTTCTCTGAGGCAGACACTTTAGGTGAAAGCGGGAGCTGGCCAGACGGAGGAGCAACATCAGAGTGCTCTTCTTTCTGTCTGTACTACTCCTCATCTGTCCTGCTCCCGACTCTGCTTAAAGCAGAAGACTCAGAACTGTCTGTGCTAACAGTGAGCAGTATTTCTGCGTGTTAGCAGAGGAAAAGTTATGATGTGCTGGTTTCCTCCAGGTGAGTGCTTAGGTGCCAGGTTACACAGTAATTTCCCTATGCAGCCAACACTGCCTGCGCCTGTGTATCTGTGTATGCATGCACACTTTTATGTAAGTAAGCCAGAGTGCATGTGTGTCTGTATGGAGTTCATGAAGTGGGAGAAAGAGAGAGAGAGAAAGGGAGGGAGAGAGAGAGAAGCTTTGTGTGTGTGTGTCTGTGTGTTAAAGAGGCGGTGACATTTTTTCAGTTTGTATTCCTGGAAACTGCTCTGCAGCATTGCTCAATAATGAAACTACTGCGTATATGTATGTGTGTGTGTGTGTGTGTGTGTGTGTGTTTGTGTGGGTAGGTGGAGAGACAAAGACAATGATACAAGGTTCATGGAAGTAACGAAGGTGCAAGTATTCCTGGAGAATGCGCTGTGACGGAATTCAAGGAACTGTCGGCGTTAATGCGTAAATAATAAATCTGTCTATCCGAAGCTTAAAAAGGGAGCAAATGCTGACAAAGAAATAGCGTCAGCAAAATGAAGGAGAATCTATGAACTCTGACATGAAAAACTGTCCGTATTCAGTGGGTTTTGTTGCTGAGGGGGAAAAAAAAAAGTTATTGTCAAGGCTATCTTGTAGGCCGTCAAAGTCCAAGCTGCAGGAAAACTGCTGTTCATGCATGACAAGCAATACGTGGAATGAGCCTTAGGTTTCCAGGAATTAAAAGTCATGTCAAACAACATAGCCTTAAGAGGTTTCACAACATTTCTCATACAGTAGGCATGGTGTTGTATCCATTTTTTTTGTCCTGTGGAGTGACTTGGCTCCTCCTTCCTCTCTCCTGTCTCAATCTCTCACCCACTATCTTCGCATATCCATCTTTCTTTCACACTCCTCTCACTTCTCCCTCAACTGTATTCGTTTTCTCACTTAATTCCATCTCAGTTTTCAGTCTTTGCTTTCTCCTCTCAGTTGTCGCTCCTTGCATCGCTCTCTCTCTCTCTCACTCTCTCTCTTCTCTAGAAAATCTCTTCATATTTCACACATTTTCTACTTTTTTTTCTGCTAAAAGATGTCCTCCATACATTTTTTGTTTTGCCTCTTGTGATTTTACAGATGTCTTTCTTGGTGGAAGAGTGAGAATCTGAAAGCCCATCTTCCTCTCCCCCTTCGGCCAACATGTCCCAGCTGCTCCATGTGGAGATCCCGAATTTTGGAGCCACAGTTCTGGGCTCCCTCAATGAGCAGCGGCTGCTGGGACATCACTGTGACGTATCCATATTGGTAAAAGGTGAGTAAGCTGGAATGTTTTTTAAATCATTATTATTAATTAGTACATTTTGCAAAAATGTTTTTAATGTCCTTCTCTGGCTGAACTAGGTCAGGCTTTCAAAGCCCACAGGGCCGTTTTGGCAGCCAGCAGCCTCTACTTTCGTGACCTCTTCAGCAGCTCAACCAAGACCCAGTTTGAGTTGCCTTCCTCAGTCACACCTGCTTGCTTTGAGCAGATCCTCACATTCTGCTACACAGGGAAGCTAACGATGGCAGCGAGCGAACAGCTGGTTGTCATGTACACAGCTGGCTACCTCCAGATTCAGCATATAGTTGAAAGAGGCATGGACCTGATGTTTAAGGCAAGCTCACCTCACTGTGACTCGCAAACTGCAGGGTCTTTAGAGGAGACGGGATCAGAGCCGCAGAGTCCTCTCAATAATGGTATCGGCCTATCAGTAGCCAGCGTTCTGGGAACCCAAAGCTGGTCAACGTCGTCCCTACTCCTGCCGCAGCGTAAAATTAAAATAGAAGTGGGTGACCCAACACCGATTTCCACACCCTCAACGCAAACCAAGATTTCAACCTCGGAGCTGGGGAGCCGGTTGGCGAGAGCCTTCTACTCAGCAGCTGGAGGCCCTGCCATTCCTGGTATGCCTACCTTCCACCTTCAAGGAACTACTGGAGGCGGAGCCGGGGGTGGGGCAGGTGGAGGAACAGGTGCGGAAAGATCCAGCCCAGGAGAGTCGAGCCTTCCCACCACAGACAGCCCCACATCCTACCAGAATGATGACGAAGAATTTGAGGAAGAGCCATATGACGGGATCGCAGAGGACGCCTACAGTCAGCTCTATGGACGTCCCACTAACCCCTATGGGAGTGAGTACAACATTCCAGTCTTTTGCTGCTTGTTAACAAAAGGCTACATATGAATTAGATATGCAACTGATTTCCAGTCACAAATTTGTAAAGTTTAAAGGGAAACCTTTTTGATTTTTCTACAAAAACTCTTATCTTTTTTCCTAATTTCTGCATATTTTGAAGACATAATTGTCCAAGCAATAAAATATTTATAATAACATGCCTTCTCAAAAATATCACAGTTACAAAGCTATACTGAGACATGTAAACATATCTAACAAACAGATCTAAAATCTTACAGAATATGGGGCAGAATGCTGGTTAGCAATAGCAACTATCAACGTCAACCTCTGCTTGCACTCCTCTGTAGATTTAACTCCATGATCTAGCTGGTATTTCCAAGATCCCCATCAATTATTAATCCAGCATATTCTGTGACAGCATTGAACTATTGAAGGAGGTGAACAGAGCGTTTTTGCTGCGCTATGTTTACGTTCTTGTTATTTTGTTGGCACTATTCTCTGAAGAGAAGAAGCCTAAAGAAATAGCTGAAATACCTTCAAAGAAAACACATTTTCCTTCCAAGAAGTTTCTTCTTATGCTTTGTTTCCGATGGCAGATTACCAATCGGGCCGGTCCAACATGAAATCAACTGATTCCAGGCAGCCAGATTATTTCTGAGAGCAAGAACTCCGTATCACTCAGAATTTAAATTTTAAGAGTTTTATATTAATGTTATGCATAATTGCATTAGCTTTTCACCTGCCTTTGGCTCAAATCTGGGATATTTCCTTGAAATGGAACCAATCCAACGTAAACATTTAAGTAAGACTCGAAATGACTTTCAGAAAAAATTTGTAGGATTTTTCCAGAGGTTTCAATAGCAGGACTTAAAAAAGAAGAAATAAGATGTCAACATCCATTTTATTCCATTTATATTATTTAATCTTTCATAAATGATGTATCCTGCACATCTCAGAAAAGCAGGACGTTGTGCCTCCAGAGTTTGTGTGGGTTCTCCCATTTTAAAGATAGCCTTATGGATGTAGGATCGGAGCGCATCGTGACCAACAACACAGCCCTTATTACAACAATAGCAGCTCCTTCACTTTGTAATGACGTTTTCAACATAATTTCCAACTGGTGCAGTCATCCTTGTTCTTGAACGCATCCGTTTTGTTTACATTCACATCCAAGAAGCTGATGGTTCTGAGAGATGTTCACAAACATGGCATATGCACCCACTCTCCATCATTCGTTTTTCACCCTGAAACTGAAAGGCATGGTATGGGGTTTGTTAAACTCTAGAGTTTCAGTAATTCATGAAATCCACTCTATCTGCAATCAGTCAGAGCACCGCAGGGTGACATTGTTGGATATTTGAGAACCATGCACCTCTTTCCTGTGTGTGCGTGTGATGTGTGTGTGTGTTGTGTGTGTGTGTGTGTGTGTGTGTGTGTGTGCGTGCGTGGTGCGTGCGTGTGTGTGTGTGTGCAAGCAGAAGTATCTTCACATATACACAGGGAGAAATATTTTGTGTGCGTGTGCATGCGTGTGTGTGTGTGTTGGAAATAATGCATTCATTCCTGCTGTTCTCTTTGTTTTGCGTTTGTGCTCATATGTCTCCAAGTCATCACAGAGGTTAGAGCAAATCATTTAGGGTGGAAAAAACCCAACAGTTCCTTTTTTTGGATTTGGGTCCCTCTAAAAGTCAGGTTACTGATGCAGCATCATTACTTATCTGGGATACATCTGCAATGCTCTGAAACATTTATGAAACACAACAACTTGCATCAGATTACCCAAGCTACTTCACAAACTCAATTTCAAATCCTTTATTGTCAAAAATGGAACAGAAAGTGGTGATAAGAATGCTATTTTTTCTTTTGTGGCGTGCATAGTGCCTTGGAAAAGTATCCCTACCTCTTTTTTACATTTTCCCACAACCTCAAACTTCTAAGGTGTTGAGATTTTATGCAGTGAACCAGCAACTTCCAGCTCCAGTCCTGGAGAGCCACTGTCCTGCAACTTGCAAACACATCCATCCTCTAATTACACCTAATTTAAATGTCTGAATCATCACCACAGAAACTCACAAAGTTCTTCATAGGCCTGGCAATGAATCATTCATTCCATTCAGGTGTGTTGTAGCAGAGATGCATGTAAAAGTTGGAGGACAGTGGATGTCAAGGAATGAACTACTGTGACAAGCCAAAACAAAGTAGCACATAATTGTAGATTGAAAGGAATATGAAAAATGCTTTTGAACAATTATTACTATTATTAATTCAAAAACGTGTGGAGTGGATTTACATTCAGCCTCCCAGAGTCCACTTGGGGAGCTACTTTGCTACAATTACAGCTATAAGTCTTTTGGGGCAGTGGCTTCGTAACAGAATGCCATTGGGGTTTTGTTCTGAACTGGGCTAATCAAACACATTATTATACACATTAATGGTTGTATCCTTCCGAAGGGGGAACCTCTGCCGCAATCTCAAGCTTTTTCTACTAGGTTTCCCTTAAGATCCCTGCATTTAGCATTTGTTTCCATTTCCGTAGTCGCCACCATGTTTCAATGTGAGGAAAGTGTATGGAGTATGGCAGTAATCTTAGTTTTCCAACACAGATAGCACTTTTCAATTAGACCGAAATGCTCCTAACTCCTCTGTACTGGTAAACCTCAAACATGACTTATTATGACTTTCTTTAGGTGTCTGCTTTAACATTGCCAGTGCTATATGGGCCAGATTTACTCAGCTAATTGTTATCCTGTTGATACATTCTTCCACTTGAGCTGTTCCCTGCAGGTCCTCCAGATTTATCATGGGGCTCTTGGCTGCTTCTCCAGTGATTGCCAAATGTGTCCACTCTGTCAATTGAAGTGTACTGCATTGTCTTTTGACAGTAGAAGCTGCTTACTGGCTAACATTTTCTAACAAATCTCTTGGGAACAGGTGTACTTGTACTTAGATTACATTAGAAGACAGTAGACTCAAGTCATCTGAAGCAAATCAGTTGGACTGGATGTTTTTTTAGGGATATTGAAGAAAGGAGATAGACACCACATGTCAACCTTTTTATGTTGTAAAAATATTCTGTATGGTGTTCCTTAATTGTGCTGCACTATAAAAGAGTCTTTAACAAATAATCCAAATGAATACACTGACGTTGGTATGAATACTTTTGCAGGGCACTGTAGTCTAGCACACTGTTGTAAGCTTACAGCAATAGTAAGATAATGTTTTTATTTATGTCTCCAATTGCTTTTCCTCAAATTTTTTTTATCTTTTTTATGTTATTAGTCCAAGACAAGCTAGAGTTGGCAGCAATGCCATTGGCCTTGGAAAATCGCAACTGCGTGCTCATCCGCAGAGACCTGGTGGCACTTCCTGCAAGCCTCATAAGCCAGATTGGCTACCGCTGCCACCCTAAGCTCTACACTGAGGGGGACCCAGGAGAGAAGCTGGAATTGGTTGCTGGTAGGCATACAAACACAAGCTTTCATATATAGAGAAAAAGACATTAACATGCACAGATAACATTGGTTCTCTGGAAAACATTCACACTGTTGCACCTAATTTAAATTTAAAATCCAATATCTCTAAAATTGCATTTCACTGATTGAATTAACTCAAACTAATAAACTCAGTATGTCAGAGGGGTGCTTTGTTAAGGGATAGAAACACAATTTATGGATCAGAGAATAAACAGATTATGAATGAGCGAGCTAACCCCAAGCAATCTGTCAAAGGTTATTCTCTGGCTATTAACATTTTTTTTCTATTTGCGTTTATATTTTGATTAAATTAGAAATAGATGTCAACACCTTTTAAATTTGATTGTAATAGCTAATTGAAAAAAAAAAGCTGTCTGACGCACATTCACAGAAGTCACAAAGGGGTCGCGAAGCGTGAATAGTCAGTAGATCTCAGATATTTCAATTTGTTGGGAATGGTGGATTTAATTTGTGCTGTGAATTTACACGATCTGAAAGGAACAAAACAGAGCTGCAGCGTTCTTGTGTGGAGATTTAAGACTGTGGCAGATGGACAACCATCTCTGCAGATATCATCAATCAGGGCTTTATGGAAGAGTGACCGAGTAGAAGTCAGACTAAAGTAAAAAGCATATGACTGGCTGCCGGGTGTTTGCCAAATGGCCCTTACAGAGCTCTGAGAATGTGGAGAGAAATGATTTTTTCTCTTGCTGTTATGATGACTCAAAAACTGAATGATGTGGCCTGACTGCCAGATATTGCTCTTAGAGAGAAGATACTCTGAATGGGCAGTGACCACTCAACATGCGGGGAGCAAAGTGAAAAATAGATTTCTTTTTTCTTTAACATTGAATATTTTCAAGCAGAAGAATTGAGCAATTTTCTGAAAGACAGAAATGATTAAATAGCAACATTAGCAAGTTTTGGTTAGGCTTAGGCATCCAAAAGGAATTAAGAAAATTATAATGTGGTAAAAATCATACCTAATTTCAGTATGCATTAAATGAAGCAAACATGCTTCATTTTGTCTTGTAGTCTGTGGTTCTGTCTCTCAAATGTTTTCATATTGCTTGAATATTTCTTGTCACATTACTTCAGCAAACATAAATGTATTTTACTGGGATGTACAACACAAATTAGTCCATAGTTGTGAACTTTAAGTAAATTGATATATGTTTTTTTGTTTTTTCCTTTCAAAACTATGTGAAATGGAGGTTGTACATATGAATAAGAATTATTTTGCAATGAGTATCTAAAACCCATTTTGGCACAATAACTTTAGGCGTATTGATGATTTTCTACTTGTTTCCTCATTTCCTGGTTAATGATGCTGATGATTTGTTTGACTCCCTTGAAGACATGAAACACAGATGTAACTAAAAAAATAACTTTAACAAAACAAGAAGAAACCTAAACGTAAAAAGAAACGATTTCTGATAGAGGCATTGTTCTCAGGAAATTGTTTTCTGTCCATGTACCTCAGGAACCCAGGTGTTCATGACACGAGGCCAACTCATGAACTGCCATCTGTGTGCCGGTATCAAACATAAAGTGTTGCTTCGTCGTCTCTTAGCCACATTCTTTGATAGGTGAGTGCAACGCAAAGCATGAGTTGTCAGTCATAGTTCAGATATATGTGTTCTTCTCTTAGATGTGTGCTTGATTCCAGCACCGCTGCTGTTGTCACAAATCAACTTTCACACTCCATCTGTGGTCATGTTGTGCAATGCAGCTAAATGAGTGTGTGTTTCTGTGTGTCCCCATGTGATTTACTGTATACGTTTGTTACTGACTCTGCCCCCTGGTGTTTACTGTGTAATTCTGTAGAAACACTCTGGCAAATAGCTGTGGGACAGGCATCCGCTCATCTACAAGTGACCCAAGCAGAAAGCCCCTGGACAGCAGGGTCCTCAATGCTGTGAAACGTAGGTTTATTGTGTAAATTATCTTGTGGCTGTCTTTTTATAACAGAAACTGTTTGACTAAGTGGACATCACTGTTTTTTTCCTCTGTTACAGTCTACTGTCAAAACTTTAACCCTAACTTCAAGGAGAGTGAAATGAATGTGATCGCTGCTGACATGTGCACAAATGCAAGGCGGGTCCGCAAAAGATGGCTCCCAAAGATCAAGTCCATGCTGCCTGATGGCATGGAAGTGTACCGGGCAGGTATGGGCATGAGTGCTGCTGCTGCCGTTGGTCTGAACCTAGCCCTGGGTGCCCCTCAGTCAGCAGTTTCTCTTTCCTTCGAGCATGATTTGAAGAGCCTAGAGCAAAGGTTGTATCCAGATCGCAAGGACCCTCTCAGGACTCATGCAGCCAGCCCTGGCGCAGGGTCGGCTGGAGCAGAAGCCGAAGGTGAAAGTGAAGCAGCAGTCCAGGAGGATCAAGAGGAAGATGACGACGAAGCTGGATCGGAGGGCGCAGACCGATCACTGGGGGCACCTATTTTGGTGTCGGTGGTCGGATCAGCAGATAGTCCTCCTGAGCAGGGGGCGGAAAGTTTTGGACAAAATCTGAGGTTGAACGGACAGTGAATCTCCCTCCCACGTCATGAAATGTGTTCAACACTCACATTTACTTCTTCTCACGGTCTCGTCCGTCACTCTTTCTTCTCCTCTGTGCTTCCTCGACAGGGAAATTTTGTTCTCCACACACAAAGCTGCACTCGCAACTTTTATCAGACAAAAGTTGGTCACACATGCATGCGCTCGTGTGTGCTTGAGTATTTGCAAACTTACATGCAGTGAAATAAAAAAAAACACAGCTATTAAAAGCATACACAGGCATGGCATTAGTCAGTTCGGGTCCAAGTATGTATTCAGCACTTGGGCAGCATTATTCCAAAAGGTCAAATAACAAAGCAGATGACTGTAATGATTCATCATATCAGTGCGACATCACCAACAGCTGGTTTGCAGCAAGTTGTAGTCTGCAGCGTAATATTATTTTATAAAATGACTTCGAAAACTGTATTTTGGAAACATAGCTCTACAGCAAGACCACATTGCATACCATTAATATTCATATAGAATGCATTGTAAAAGAATTGTTTAGAAAATAAGAAACCCTTTCCTTTATTTTACCTTGTATTGCTTTGCCCGAGTATCATACCCCTTGAACCTGTCCATCTTTTTGTCACAGATACAAATTCTATTGAATTTTTGGGGGATTTTGCGTGACAGACCTACAAAAACAGTGCACGTGTGCGAATCGAGTTTGAGTTAATTCAATATGTGAAGAAAATGCTCTACTATTTTTAAGAAAATGCATTTTTATTCATCCCCACCCCTGATTCAGTACTTACTAAACTTCACTGCAATTTCAGATGTTCTGAGGAGCTTTGCACAGCAAGAGTGAAAGTTCTTGTCCTTTTTTTCTTTCAAAATCAGTAACCTCAATTTGTCAAATTGAACTAGAGTATTAAGGATATTTTAGATTTTTGGTGTTTTTTTGGGGAGGGCAGGGGGTTGCTAAAAATTTAGCATTGTTTTCTTGTGCTGATTTCTCACATAAATTCCCTATAAAATACATTAAAAGTTTGCAATAATACATGATATTATATGGAAAAGTTCAAAAGGTATGGATACTTTTACAACACACTCTGTTGTATCACTTTTATGATGAAAATTTCAGAATATTATTTTCTGCAAGTACTTGTTTGTTTTTTTTTCCATAACTCTTAAGAACAAATGCAAGACAACAAATCTATCACCCACATTTGTTGTTTTCTCGTGCATATCGAGTCGGACATATCAGACAAGACTGTCAATGTGATGCCTGTGTCTGCTCCAGACCACACCTCCCAAGCCGCACATATGTACATGCAAATGAACACACAAACATTCATTCATTCATCATTACATTTCTGTAATACAAGCATTTAATGTACTGATGTAGTCAAATGGCACACTGTCCAAAAGAATATGTTGCAATGCTTTTTAACTTCAAAAATCACAGAATTCTTGGAGATACAGAGACATGAATAAAAACATGAGATAATGTCAAGACTTGCATGCATTAGTCCAAACAATGGCTGGAAATATTTGCTAAAGTAAACGGCAAAGTCCCATTTCTGCATTGAAATAAGATAACAGCTACTTTTGCCTGGAGATGTGATGTTAAAAACTAGAAGCACTTTCTCCATTTCTTTCTGGAAAAAGGCTGCCAAACGTTACAAATGATCTTGATGTAACCCTGCTTTGACTGTTTCTGACACCGTATTAGTTTGAGTTTGTTGTTTTTTGTTTTTTTATTTGTATGAATTCTACAGAGTGTATTGTCCACTTAAATGGAGAAGAGTGAATATATGAAGTGCACTACACTGAAAAAACAAAAGCAATGCCAGAGAGGAGTACTGTTCCACATTCATGAGGTGTTGTGAATGTTTTGAGTCAATTCTGTCCTGTTTCCATCCTGTTTTTGTTGTTGGTTCGATTACTCGCTCTCCAATGGGGAAATGAGATGGTGGGTAAATTATTTAAAGAAAACTTTTAAGAGCAAATTACGCTGGTTTACTGCGTTTGCACTCAAGAGAATGGGAGAAGCCGAGGATTCTGGAAAAGCGGCTCCTGCAAAAGACTGCAAATCCCCACCACGACACCCTGATTACATAGTCAATCAGACACTCTGTGGGCTCAGATAGCAACAACGGGTCTCTATTGACGATGACTGTTTCTGTGTTTTGTTGGGGGGGATGGAGGCCGTGCATTCGTCAAGCCTGTCTTCTGTTTTTGATGTCTGTTTTCACGCTCGTTGCCATTACCATGCATAGGACCCAGTCCAAAGAGCCTTTCTTTATCGTTTTTCTTTCATAATGATACACTGTTGAATGTTGGCCCTTGTTTTGTGCTTGTCGTGGGTTTCAATCAGCAGTTGAATAACATTTAATTACAAAAGCAGACCATAAATTTCTATTTTTATCACAAATATTCTAAAAAAAAGAAAATGTGGAAAATGTGGTGATTGCACAAGTGAGGTTAAGCAGGTTTAAGGAGATGCTCCCGGTATATTTGGTCTGTTATGTATTTTTTCAGTGATGTGCCACTTTAGAGGTTGGGCCAAATTTTTCTGTCTTTGACAAGTATATCTTGGATCTTTAGGGTAAGCTTTTAGATATCCCTGCATATAAAAAAACAGGGTCAAGATTGCACTATAGTTAACATTCATTACGTTTACAGTTTTTTTTTTTTCTATTTTCTATTTTTCCCCCTTTGGGAAGAACTGTAATCTGCCCCAGATAAGCCAGGGTTATGAATGGCCAAAATGATGGTTGAATGTAAATTGTAGCATTGAGGGTCACAGTCTTTTTTTTTTTTATGATATAGTAAATTATTGAATCTCTTTGTTTAGTATGTGGCTTCATTTTTTTTATTCACATAAATTGTAAACTTAAAAAAAAATTACATTTAAAATTAACTTTTCTGATAGTGATGTTTTTGCATAAATATCAATTTGTATCAATTTTAAAATTGATACAAAACAAGTCTTCCAGTGTGTTGAAGCACAGGCAGCAGTATCCTAATAAGTGTAAAACTGAGGTTTGTTCAGTTACTCCACATGATATTAAATATGCTCATCTAAGGGTGAAATGACAATATTTACTAAATTATAGCACCATCTTGTCTAATTTATTTGACGTTGCTCTTGTGAGAGGATAAATAATAATAAATAAGCTAAAAATGTAATAAATAGTTAAAAATAAATACATTTATATTGAGAGGAAAGTCACCTAAAAAAGATCAAAAATCAAAACCCACCAATATCCTTTATTAAATCTGTTAAAGTGGTCCGAGTTTAAAATATATTGAATCTGTACAATTGAATCTCTGCTGTCTCTAATGTATCTTTAAACAGAAAGTTTTTTTCTGCATTCAATTTAACACAGTTTTCAGAGCAGTTCTAATTAAAAGAGTGTAGTAGCTAGAAGGACCTAGGAAAATGTGATATACTCCATTGCAGTGATTAAAGAAGAGTGGAACAGTGCCTTAGACTGTGAATGTGGGTCTGTGCCATAATAATTGTTCAGAAATAAACAAGCCGAGGAGGCTGTTTGGATTAGACTTTTCTCTTACTGAAATTGTTATTCTAAACTTTAAAATTATGACTCTAACTATGTTGACATACTTTAGCTGACTTACTTTCTTTCATGTCATTTTCGAATGTAAAAACTTTGCTCCCTTTACTAGGGTCACTGTGTTTATTTAAGCTTTTATTTACAATAAGACTGGCTCCTTCTTGGACACCCTTGCATGCTGAGCAAAATGGGGAAACCTATCATATATATGTAAATAAAATCAGATATAGTTGAATTTGTGCATCCGCTCAAATGCGTCTTCCTCTGTAAACCTCACCTTGAGTCAGTTTGTTAACTTTTTAATCAACCTTTTTAACTTTCCTTTTTAGCTTTCTGGGATCTTTGATTTTTTTTTTTTTTTTATCATCTTGTGCAGGGTAACCGGGTGAAGTTGCACTTTAAAATGAGAAATTCTCAGAGAATGCCATGGCTAACCTATGAGAGAATGAGCTCTATTGGAGGTGTTTAATAGAAAGAAAGAAAAAAGTCAAACAACGTGTATAATTTTTCTATGTTTCTGTGATGGAAACCAGTGTCATGTTTACTGAAAGCTCAAATGAGAAAGAGGATGAGGTTGGTGGGTGTGCAGAAATTGTTCTTACTTCATTTTATTCAAAAACTTTTTTCTCTTCTTTTGGCTCTCTGCCTCTTTTACTGTAAAAATAATGGGCACTGTAAAAAAAAAATGTTATTTGCTCTGCTGAAAGGTTGACCCTGAAAACTATACACTGATATGCAAAAATTACACTTGTATCATAAAATGCATGCCATTCAGATGTTGACCCGGACCCGATGAAACTTCTGATCTTTATGCACCCTGTATTTTATGCTGAATAACTGTTTTCACTGTTTTCGAGCAGAGACTTGAGTCGACTTGCAGTCAACAGGGCTGTATTTTTTTAATCATACACCCTGGCCTTTCATTGAATGTTTGCATAAAATGTAATCTCTTGCATAATCGACAGCAAAATACTGATTAAGAGTGGCATACATAAACTAACTAAGTTGAGTGTGCATCAAAATCTTTAGACTAAGAAAAGAAATGCACTGAAAAGTTTGTGCGTGTATGTCTGTGTCCTCGAACATGATGCCAGCACTTTAGAACTACTTAGAAAACCGAAAGAAAAGAGAAAAAAAACCATCAAGGGTGACCAAGGCTACAGGCAACAGACGAGAAGATGCAACTTTTAAAGCCATGTGTTCAGAGCGCTGACAATCAGAAAAGGGATGAGGCCCACAGTGCACTATGGGGGATGCGAAATGACTTGCTGTGCTTTTGCTATTTGCTTTTGTCTTTCAGCTTGTTTCATTCTGTACTGGCTTACTTTCAGAATGGATGGTCGATGGTGTCATCTGCAGCCTTCTTGGTTTTATGTGTGTGTGTGCGTGTTTGCAGCAAGGACTGACTCAAACCTTGGTGCTCATTGGTCAAAGCTGTCCTCAGTTGGCATGGACCTTATCTGTCATTCTCTGGGCTTTTTGGTGACCTGATGATGGATGACAACACAAATGTTTCAAAGAAAAAAAAAAAGATAAAAAAAAGGAAGATGTAATATGTAATCATGCAACTGCATACTTTGATCATCGTGTTGTTTCTGACTATCAGCAGGGCTTGGCCCAGGCAAATTGGGATGAGGCTATTTTAGTGTTGATACTGCTTCATAAAAGAGACAAAATGTTGAAACGTTTATGCGCCTTCTGACTCTCAAGCATCAATAATATATACTGGAAATGCAAGTTGCCACTTTTGATGTTGCATAAAAATCTCTTTCATTCCCATCATTGTATTTGCCATCATGGGTTTTAAGTTGTGTATTCTCAGAGTACCTTATTTCTTTAACTGCATTACAAAAACATGTCTGCTTTCTAATAAAAAAGTCCTTACTTCACCATGTACTGTACTGAGTGGCTTATTCATTTGTCTTTGTGTCTTTGTGTTCCAAGAGCTGAAAGGCTGCGTTTGGGGATCTGCCCATAGTGCTGACTCCAGAAATCCTATACACAGGAGGAAGCCTTATAGAAATGTGTTTTGCAAGTTCTGATGTACTTCAGATATGTACAATGCAAACGTGGCATTAAAGGGTTGCCAACAGAAAGAAAATAGCCAATGCTGTGGTTTTGCTAGAATATATTTGATAGAATATGCCTTTTTTTCTTTTTGGGCAAAATTTACTATTGAAGATAAAGGAACCATTTTGGAGAAATAAAGGAAATTGTTCCAGTGAAATATCCAAACCTTTCCAAATGTACACTTTTTAAAAAATTTTCTCAAGTAATCTGGCAAATGACCATTGCCTACTTTATCCAGCATCACTCTTCAATAGAAAAAAAGTCACAAAAATGTAATATATAAACAATAACAGCACGGAGCTTAAAAAAATACCTTTAATTTTATGTAATCAATTTATCAATTAATTTTAGATATTTTAGGTTTTCTTATGGCCACTCAGTCCAAATCCCTTGTGCTTCCTTCGCATGCCTTCCTTGTGTATAGAAAGGCTTCTGCTTTCATTCTTAGAGATAGCCAAAAGTTCTACTGTTGTTGTTTTTTTAATTTGAGGTCAAATGGTAATGTTTAATGGATCACTATTTATGATCTTCAGGGGGGTTTCCAGCCAGATTTCTTTTTCAAAGACAATAGTTCTCTGCTTTCTTTCCAGTTTGCCCTTCCAGTTTCAGTCATTTTTGCAGTCGCCTTCTTTGCATGCCAGAGACTTTACCCTTCTTAAAACAGACTAGCATATTTTCCACAACCACAGAATATGTCATTCCACACAGTTGTTTAGGAAAGCTGGGATTAAATAGCTTTTTGCCAGCTGGAAGAAAATCGCCACTTCTACTGACTGAAAAAAATAAAGCAAGGATGTTTCAGACAATAAATAAATAAATAAACGGGGATATGCACAATAATGTTACATTAAAAATGCTGAAAATATAAACAAGGAAATTACTAAATGGTAAATAAAAATATGAAACGCTCAATTCCATTGTGGCCTGAGCAAAGTAATCCTGCGTTCTGGCATCGACTTGCCATCCTGAGATCATTTCTTCAGGGCAAATTTGCGCGCTGCGTGCACAGCTGTACTACAGCGGCTCGCCTAAACTTTATCTCAGATACGGACTTTCAAGAAATAAACACGTAGCGTACATTTTCGCAAAAGGCAGTAGCTTCTGATACTGAAAATGGGAGACGACGCAGACGCCCCTCCCGAGAGGGAAATGAAGGTAAAGTCTTGTGTTGACAGATTAGCATGTGGAAGCTACTGCGTCAGTTCACTTTCTGTTTGTGGCTAGCTTAGCTAGCGAGCTCCTTGCTCAGTTTTAAAATTAGGCTTAGCTTGCCCTGGCATTTTAAATCGTATTTACTCAACTGTAATATTAACATGGACTTTCATGTGTTTTACATAGTATTTGTTTAAATGCCTCTGAAATTAAAGTAGACGATAAGTTATGTCTTCTAAGTTTTTAGCTAGCTATGTGTTTCTGGAACATTAGCAAAATATTGTTCACGCGCGGGGTTAATAAATAACTTTGGAAAATAGTTATCCGGTTATATCACGTATTTTCAGTGATATCAAAGTCTTATCATTTCCTCCTGTGTCGTGCTGGGATAGTTTTATCTTATGGTTGTGTAACAATATTTAAATGACCATGTTTAAACTTGTGTTTGCCTGTTTTCTCCCACTGGTCAATTTTTAGAGCAATAACTGAAAATGAAAGCATTCTTTTTTACTGTTGTTAAATGTTGAGGGGAAGTGTGTTATTAAGCACGATTTAGCTATTTGTTTATGTTTTTAAAAATGCTAATGCGGGATCGCCACAACAAATCTGAAAGCGAAACAATATTTCAATGAACCCGGTTTGGAGACTGGAGATAAACAAAAACCTTTTCTTGCTCTTTAAAAAAAAAGAGAAACCGATTGAAAAAAATCCCCCACCAGTACTTTAAACTCGACGAAGGTAAAGTGTATAAACTAAGGATAGAAAAACCTGGAGATGGCTAACATGTGCACAATGTTGTAGTTGGTAGCACTTGTGTTTTGCAACAAGAAGGCCCTGACTTGAAATCCTGACCTCAGGTCCTTTTGCATAAAATGAGTCTGTTCTTCCTGTGCATTCATGGGTTTTTACAGTGGCTTCGCTCCACAGTCCAAACTTATGACTGTTAGGTTAAATGGCTTCCCTAAATTGTTCATCGGTGAGTGTGGTTGTTTGTCCGTGTTGCCCAGCGGTTTCCTGTCTTAAGTGTACCCTGTCAAACCCTGTAAGGATATGAGGGTCCCTTCAATGAACAGTTAATTCCATAAACATCCATTTGAAGTTGAAAATAATCTTTTAAGCCTGCCAACATATTTCTGGAAGCATCACTGGTGACTTGAATCCGATTAGAATCTGTGTAGGAAGCTACAGATTTGGGTGATGACATCAAGGCCTTTCAACCGCAAAGATTTGGAGCTCAACGTCTAAGATAAATCTACAAAGCAGCAGAGAATACACACAGAAAGCTGATCAGCAAGTCTGATGTGGGGTTGACTTCAATAACTCTCCACAGATTATTGAGAAAGATATAAATAATGTTTGGCATTCCTTTTTTCCTGCAAGTTAAAAAAAAAACTTCTTGGTTAATTGAAAATAACGTTAACATTAAACCAGCTAGGGATCTGAATAATTTTGGACATAGCTGTGTTGTGGTTACAAAATGATTTGTTTAAAGGAACAAAGTGGAAAGATGTACTGTAGCCGATTCAGTGACATGTTGTTTGACCATGATGTACGTAACCTTTTGTTTGTTCTTGTTAGGATTTTCAGTTTCGACAGATGAAGAAAGTACAAGTTTTTGAGGCTGTTGAAGATGTGCCAAAAGAGAGATCAAGTCTACTTACTGTTTCAAACAAATATGGCTTGACATTTGTTGGCCTTGGCCAAACATTCAAAGTGTATCTTACTCAAAATATTCTAGCTGCTGATAGGGCTGATGGGAGCTCCTATGAAGTAGGTAAGAACATGTCCAAGCAAGTTTGATTCAAAATTTTTGTAATAGTATGTTCTGAAAGATATGTCGTTGTGGTGCTGAAACTGATTTTTATTTTATTTTTATTTTTTTTACTGTGTTCTAGTCAAAGGTATACCAGCTCTGGTGGAAGTGACTGGGGATATGTCTTTGCACCACTTGGCTCTGAGTTGTGACGAACTCACTTTGTCAGTTTGTGGGACAACTGAGGAGACCGGTTTGGCCATCGCATTTTATGATGTCCGAACCTTCATAAACAAGGTAAGTGCTTAATGTTTGTTTTAAAAATGCTAACGTTAGTATTTTGTGATTCAAAAAAAAAAAAAGAAACTTTTCCAAAAAGCTTTTCACGAGTTTTCTCACGTAAAGCTGTGAGAAGCACGCAAAACATAACCTTCAAATATGAAAATATGCATTCAAAAATATCTATTTAAGCTTTTTAGCCTTCTGCTTTCAGAATTTCCAGAAAAACTGTGAGTCATTAATTTATTTTCTGATTTGTCATATTTTCTTTTGTCAGGCCAGACCACAGAAGTCACCATTTGCATCGTTGCAGCCACCTGTGGCCTCTGATGCTCTAGTTCAGGACCTGAAGTGGAACCCTGCTCAGCCGTCCATGTTGGCTGCCTGCTTGTCGGATGGCAGCATGATGATTCTTGAGGTAACAGACGGTGTCAGGATTCAGGCCCAGCTACCTGCTAACAGTGGTGTCACCTGCCGTAAGTCTGACTTATATAAATATACTTTTAGTTCAGTTCATACATCATTTATACCTGTTGTTTGGCTCAGTTGCTGGTTGTTTACTTTACTTTATATAGTTAGCTGGAGTCCAAAAGGAAAGCAGGTTGCTGTGGGAAAAATGAATGCCACTGTCAGCCAGTATACACCAGTAAGTGCATTTTATTTACAATTATGAGATCAAATACTTGTTTTTTTTTGAGAAGTGATACTGATGATCTTTTATTGCTCAAAAGACTCTGGAAGAGAAGAGAGTCATCCCATGTCCACCTTTCTACAATTCTGATGACCCAGTTAAAGGTATTAATAGATTTATTGAAAAGGAAATTGTTCTACCCAGGTTGTCGTCTTCATACTGATGAGATATATCAGGGCCCCGTTTCAGAAAGCAGGGTCAACAAGCCCTAAGTAGAAGGCAGATACTTTGACTAAACCTACTTGGTTCTGTGATGCTCTGGGTTTTCTGTTCTCTCACCTTTTCCTTATGCCAGGTCTCAGCTGAAATGTAGGACACACTCTGAGTTTGTTCAGCCAAAACACAAAAAACTACAGCAGCAATTTCAGTCTGCACTTTATTGCTTTAGCACTATAAATATTCCATGTTATGAACTGACTCCATTTTATTTGCCAGTTTCTGATATTCTGTCCATGTGTTCATCATGCACTAAAACCTTTTTGACTCTTTGTTTAAAATTTTCTTGTGCAGCTCTGGATGTGCTGTGGCTTAGGACACCTGTGTTTGCAGTGGTGTATGCTTCTGCAGACGGGTGTCTTGAGACCCCTCCTGAGCTGGTGCTGATCTCCCTCCCTGTAAGTCACACAAAACCTCTGTTGCTCACTCGATTCATTTAATTCAACTAATTCACTTTATAGTTTTCAATATGAAACCCCCATGTTATAAAATAAAGTGCCACAATCCATAGCTAAACTCTGAAGAGCAGGTTATACATATTGAAAACCTCTAATGTGTCATACAAGTTATTATGAAACTGTTTAAGGATATTATCTAAATTACAGATGGTTGAAAGCCTGTAATATAAACTTTAACTATTAATGTACATTAAAACAAACCACAAATTGGTGTCAGAACACAGTATATAGTCAAATGTTTCTGTTTATTTATCACCGATAATTTGTAGCATGTATTTAAAT